GGCGTGCATTGTCATGCAGCAGCAACAACACTTTCTTCAACAATAGGCCTCGGAGTTTGGTGCGAATTGCTGGCTTCAGATTGTTGGCCAGCAAATCACTGTATCTTGCACTGTTGATCGTACACCCTTTTTCCAGGTAGTCATCCAGTTTAGGCCCTTCTGAGTCCCAAAAACGGTTAGCATCATCTTTCCCGCGGAAGATTGAGTCTTGAATTTCTTCTTCGTTGGCGATTCCGGGTGTTTCCACGCCATACTCTGGCTTTTGGGTTCTGGCTCATAATGATGGACCCACCGATGAATTTCAGCCCCTGACACACCTTCCAACCAGAGAAATCGGATCACTGTTCTTTGTCCCTCCTTGGTGCACACTGCTAGCGCAGCGACCATGTTTACACTGTCACAGCATCAAGGAAAATGACGCGATCAATGTCAAACTTCAATCACGTGACCATAATAGTGCCAACTCTAAGCATGCATGCGCAGAAGGCAGTGTGACAAACCTAAAGTTGTTATATGCCGAAAGTACGGATAATTTCTGACTTCCTCTCGTAATTATAACACCGTCTTTGATCTACGTAAGTTATGATTTACTATAACGCACGCTAAGTCTTTTTAGTTTATCTTTATTAGCCGTTGCTCGGTTACACTTCTCAACAATGTGGATTTCCTTAGCTTCTCTGTTCATGTCCCCTGTCCTCACTGGCTTGCGACTGACTTGCAACTAACTCATTGCTCCAACTCAGCTCTTCGCTCCAACAGCCTATTTCGGTCAATTGGTCGGTCGGTTAAATTGCTGCTGGACTTCGCCAGTACAGTAATTTCTGACTTCAGTCTCCTCGAGATCCATGACCAAGATTTTTATTCTCTCGTAGACATGTACGTGTTTCGAAGTGCAGACTCTTCTTCGACGAAGGAGAGTTTGGTGTTTCTATGTAGACACTACGTTTGTTTGACCGTAGTTTCAGCACATGCATATCCGCGCTGTCAAGGTATCCAGGTCACTATGAACTCTGCATCTTTTGTCACTGCACTATATAAAGGCACATTTATACAAGATGTAAAGAGGTTTCCTCTAAATGCAGTCTTGTGCAGCAGGTTATGAATTAACTTATGTAATTACTCCGAAACTGCACTTCAGTCAGCTGAGCAGCTGTAGGCGTGACCTCCAAGTTTAAGCCTGCCTGCCTAATTCTTTGAGTTGTCCGTAATCATTTAGCACAAACAGCACAGAAAACGCCGTTTCGAAAATTGTCTCTAATCGTAATGATGGGTGCACTATGCTACAAATCTAAGGGTCGCCGGTTCGATTCCCGATGAAGTCATTGGATTTTTCAGTTGACCTAATCCTTTCAGCCGCACTATGCCCTGGGGTCGACTCAGCCTCTAACAGAAATGAGTACCAGGAACCTTCCTGGGGAGTAAAGGGCGACCGGCGCATAATAATGACAAAGTCACCGACGTGTGCTAGCCTCGACATCTCAGAGCCCTATGGGTCTCCACTGCCTGTTACAAGGATAGCTTAACCTCTTTTTAGTTGTTACTGTGTCCGTTGCCTAGTAATGGGCTGGGAATTACTATGTTACCCAGCAGTTACTTGCAATTGACAATTATTAGGTAATGAATCTTCGTCTAAAGACAGGAAGATACTGAAATAGCCGAGATATTATTGTCGTTTCAAGACGGGGTCAGTTCTAGGGCAGTAGTTAGACAAGAACACAAGCTGTTGGAAATCGTGTCTTTGAGACAAAACGCGACTCAGAAGAATCGAGTATTCCAGAGGAATCTCCAGCCATGACCCTGCCGACTGGATTACTTTGTGGACAGAATGAAATTCTGGATACGGAAGGAATACTTTTGTACTCCTCATAGCTAAGCTGCTAATGGAAAGCAAGGTCATAACTAAAGTACGTCTAAAGCTTTTACGAAGTCGCAGGCAACAGAACTGTGAGGGATGTTGAATATACTCGTACATGTAAAGTTACAGTAAAAGAAGTGAGTCATACGTACTCAGAATCAAAGAAGCAACGGTTGCAATGGTTGTCGTAGACTAAATCATTGGGTTACTTCGTTCCTAATTACACTTTCCGAAGAATAATGCAAGCGTTCTATTCGTAAGTAACTTGAATATCCATAAATTAGTTAATTTTTAAGATTGATTAAATTGTCTTCTGGGATGTGAGTACTTTCAGTCTGGTAAATTGTTATCAGTATTTTGGAAGAATGTGCTGCCTTCATCCTATAGGTAGAAGAATTAATTTACCTGAAAATGGAGTCTCCATATTCCTCCGAAATATTAGTGACGAACTATTAGACTTTATGGCGTCACATCTTATTAGACAACAATATTCACAGTCACCAGCAGTGAGATTTTCAAATCTCACAGTTCATTAATTATATGAATGGAAATACACAGAAATGTTTCTGTAAGGTTTCTCTCTGTTCTTGCAGCATATGTTAATAATTATATTCTGAGACCTTCAGTCTAACAGCACGTATTTACATTTTATGGAAAGTTATTTAAATGCATTACAGGCTGTTTTGCATTAAAATTCAATTTAAGGTAAAAATTAAATTTCTCTGAAACGTGATATTACAAAGCCATGGTGTGAAGGAGAGAGAGAACTCCAAGGAGGCCCAGCTGCGTAAAAGAAATTTCCACTAAAATTCAGATGCGTGGTGTTACAATGAGGGTACTGAGACGACGTAATCACACCACAGACTAATTTGCAATTACTCTAAATACCATGAAGAGACTACGCTCGAAAATATAACCTGTACGTCGTTTCCCATATACGTAGGAACGTAACTTGGGGAGAAAATTTATTACTTGTATTGTTAATTATATGTATTTACTTCGCTGAAACAGAGGTTTGAATCGACTATGAGTAACACCACTTGAATTTTCTAAGTTTCAAAGGAGTTATTCTTCAGAAAGAAATATACGCTCAGCTAGACGTAGAATTGCCCGTCATTACGGAATGTGAAAATTCATTACCGTGTTCACAAGAGCCTTCAGTTGGTCCATGTCCTGAAATAGATGGATCCAGTACACACACTCAGTTCCACTTAATACCCCTTACTCCCTTATGTCCATCGGTTTTCAATGTGGTGTTTTCGCTTTAGGTTTTCCAGTTAACATTTTGTATGCATTCGCGTTACGTGCCTTGCCAGTCTTATTCCAATTCGATCACGTTAAGCATGTGAACATCCTCATTTGCACTCAATATCTCCATTCTGCTCTTGTTTCTTTGCCCCTAGATCCAAATATTCCCACTCTTTTGTTCTCAAACATCCTCCAGTTATTCTTTCTAGAGATATCAAGTTTCATGCCTTTCCCTTCTTTGCTTCTGTTCACTGCTGTCCCATGGAAATACCAGGAAGAGTTCCTGGTCTGAACAAATAATAGAGGAACGAAATGGTGGCTGGCGTTAAATAGAGTAATTAATTTGCAGAGGTTTGGTGGTCCCTTGGTATTTAACTCCCTTTCTGTGAATGCAACAGAGCTTAGGAATGCACCTGCTGCTTAGTGTCATTCTCACGTACTAATGATAGTATATTGAGGTAAAAAACTCACATAATCATGAATATTGTATAGTTTTGTTTTAACATGTTTACACGTTTACGTTTGGACATTATCCATTGTCCTGTTTTTTAAAAACGACGTTTGGGAAACGGTACAGTGTCTCCGAAATATTTTTATGTAAGAAACAGGACAATGAATAATGTCCAGAAAGTCAGTAACTGTACTAATATACCAACATCACAAATTTGTAGATCTTATTAAAATGATAATTGTTTTCTACATAATCACATAACAGCTCATATTGTAGGCATGTTGAAAATCTGATGTGAAAGTCTCTCATTACAGACCTACGGAATATATTAAAGTTGAAAAAGTTGTTTCGTAATGTGTTCGAGTTGTTGTGTTTACGTAACCTCTAAACTTAGCTTCATAACTTCACTGTTTTGTTTGTAGTAGGGTGCTTGGAAAAGCCGCAGCCTTGTTTCACCTTATCTCTTTCAGGCTGCACCAGATGAATAGTATCAGGGATGTTAAGACTTAGAAAGTAACAAGGTTTAATTTCGTAACCTTTCTCTGGTAAAAACGTGCACTTCATAAAGTGAGGCGCTATCCATTGCAAAAATGGAAATACGGTTTATATGTTCATATGTTCACTGTTTTTAATGTGAAAATGTGTAAGGCAGATAGATATTCTAAGTCTCGTAAGTTGGTATATGAAGGTTTAATTAGCGAGTTGTGTGAATATGAAGTATGTTCGCTTTATTACTTGTTTCCTATAGTAACAGTTTAAATGTTATATTTTTTATAGGACATGAATTTCAGGGTCACAAAGACAATTGAGGTCATGAATTTCGTGGTATCTGACTTCATTTATACTACTAAATTTTAAACCATTATTTCACTCAGTATGTCAGCCAAAATATTAACGCTATACCATATTAGTGTAACAGTGAATTCATGTGATTTGCTTTCTTGTTGGTGTTGATGTATGCAGGAAAAACTGACATGTATAGGGGCAGGAACCTTGTGGGACATCGGTCGGTAACACAGTGAACAGTAACCGATCATAGACATTAAAATTTATTTTAAGCTAACCTCAGTTATTTTTGTGATACTGTATCAGACACTTACATTGCTATAACTTAAGTACTAATATTATTATAATATGTTTCAAACTATAATATTTAACATAAATTGAGTTCAACTTTAGGGATAAGTTAATTTGTTTACATTCAGTTAAGTTTTGTGACACAAGATTACTTCATTTACATAAGTGTGAATTAAATGTATTTTCCAATTTCAGTTTTACTTGTTTGTTGTTGTATGTATTCTGTGGTGTTAAGTACTCATATTTTAAAAATTTTCAAATGTATCATCCATTCACGTTACCTGAAATAAGGTGTGGCCACCTGCATATGCAATGAATAGATCTGAAGGGATGTTGCAAGGCTGAAATGATCCTCTCCAATGTTTGCAGACCTCCACCGCTTGCTAATCAGAGTAGGTCGAAAAGTGTCGGCGAGCAGAAGTGGCAGAACCTCCGCGCCGTTATGGCTTTGTACACGAGACTCCGGAAGATCAAGAGGTAGTAACATGTATAACCTGTATTGTCGTCTGCTGCCGCTGTTGGTTGCTTTGTCCTCGTCTCGAGCTTGGTGGTGCTGTTGGTTTCTGGTTTCATGGTGGTTCCTTGTTCGTTCGCTCATTTCCTCTGTCGATATTCAGCACGGAATATGATTCAGTGAATAAACTAATATAGAACTTCAATGTCTCTCTTATGCAGTGGCCAGTATCTACCAGCGCACAGTATAATCAATACTGGGAATTTCAGAAGTTGGGCACATAAATAGTAATTTCTCTTATGTTCTACAAAAGTTTGTTTACATCCGGAAATAATGCAAATGTTTTACAAACATAACATTAATAATATAGACAGTATAGCTATATGTAACTTAAAAACATCATTCATATAACGCTGAGGGTGCATGTAATATTAATATCTATGATAGAGACATGAGACTAGTCTTGGCAACAGGGAATCATAGGCAGCAAATTTTGTCAAATTTATTTCTTCATTCTTGAATCCAATTAAGTGACGTGTCAGAAGTAAAACTCCATAAACGACTAAAGATTTTAACAATGTGCTGGATGATTCAACCTGTCGAATATTTCAGAAACGGCAGGAATCGATATTCTCTTAGATAAATCTTCCATAGCTACTTTACTGCACCGTCTCAGTGAAGGAAGTGTAAAATCATGTAAATGGAACCGCAGCGTAAAGAAAATTATCTTTTCGTCGTAACTTTGCCAAGTCTTTGGTCAAATTATGTTTAGGGACATCATAACGTAAATGATAACAGCACACTGAAGTATATGCCATCCATATATTTTTATTGTAGCACGTGCACTAATTTTGTCGTTAATGGTAAATCCTTTCCAATTTGTTTATCATTCATGTTTCAAGAAAAAAAAAAGATCAGTTAAATGAGTTTGCCACATTTATATAAAATGTGTAGGGTTTTGCAGATATCAACAACAACCAAGTACAGAATAAATAGGTGCTAACTGCGGGCATGAAAGTGTGTCTTTCTGTGACTAGCTGAACTGCTCACGTGTACCCCAAAGGCTTCATACGCAAAGACGTGTGTGCTTCACTAAGGGAAATATTGAACACCACGGAAACAACGCCATTGAAATAGAAGGTTTATTTGTTGTTTTGCTACACCCCCCCCCCCACGTTACAGTGATTTGCTTACCTGTACGTTGTCACAATTACAAAACCAGGATATTTCTGCGGGACTAGCAAATACAATCTTGTGATATTTCATATTTCGTGGTGCAACACTCTGAATTCGTAACGATTTTATGTAAGTATTCCGCAGCTTTTAACAACTCTGTAAAAAGTAATTTAAGGAGAACAGTTGAAGTTGAACGTAGGCCACAAATGCAATTTCGTGGCTAGTATGGAGTGATGTGCCACGAAATTAGATATGTCATGAAATTGGATGTCTTCATCTTACATGACATGTCATTAAATTGTTCTTGAATTTAATCCACGGACATAACAGTCCTCTTTATAAACATCTTGAATGAAACATAAATATTAGCACTGGCAGTAAATCTGTAATCAGATTAGTTCATATGATATAAAGTGAGTTAAATTTTGAAAGAAAGATCAGTATTAGATTACTTACTGAATCATATCCGAATAAAAGATATTCACAAACTTTATCCAAAGCTGTGTAACACTGAAGCCTGTACATTCAAGTTACGCCTTTCTGTTAAGTCGATTTGAACTAAGAAGTGTTTATCATTAATACTCTTTTCTCTCTTATAGGTATTAAGCGAAGTTTTATTAAACTGCAGAAAATATAACATTATAAACCTATTTTTATTTCGGACTTTAAGATATTAAGAAACGTGAAGTATGTCAGCTGAAGAGTCTATATAAGAATTTAGCGGTGCTTCCAGTTACAATTTGCTAACATGTTGTCTCATTTATATTATTTAACTACTGATACTTCAATCTGAAATCCTTTTTTTTTTCTTAATAAACAATGGAAAGCATGTAAGATTTGAGGTTTTCACGGCTGTGAACATGAAGAAAGCATATTTGAACATGTTTCTATATATTATACTTTTATGTAACACATTCATACTGTCAGGAATTGAAGGATTTCCGAGTTTTTCTTACATTCTAAGAATGTTTTCGCACCTTCAAATATGTTGTACAATTCGAAGGCAGTACTTTAATTAAAAACATTCACTCCCTTCTTTACATATGTCCTTGTTTGACAGTCCGAGGCCAGTTTTTAAAGTCCGCACAAGTATAATAGTTATAATACTATTAATTACATCAACTTCAAACTTAAGTAACCTAATTTGCCAAAGTGTAAATACAGATTAACAACTTGCAACAGGCATGAAATACACACCCGTGAAGCAGCAAGTAACTTACTTACAATCTAACTTGGGCACGGCGTTTAATCTCATTAGTAGAGTTGAGTACGTTTGAATTCTCGTCCGTTCACTCCCATCTCTCAGGGCTACGAGGCAGAGATTCGGCCTTCTTGCTAAGTTACGAATCCGGCGCTCTTGCCCCGAATTGTAACATATCCAATTTCATAATACATCTTGCTTCGTGGTAGGAAATTCGAAGTTCGCCGCAAAACTGGGGGCTTTTACACACTTTATTTTAACATTTCTCCATGGACGGCTTCTGTATTCCCTCTAACAGATGTACGTAACTTCTTTGAAACATTTTTTTTAATGACAGGAAATCATTTTTCTCATCCACGGATGTTAATTTCTTAAAGGCGGAACTCGTGGTACATAACGCCTTGCTTCCACCTTAAGGGTCGAAAAGTAATCTCAGCAATTAGTAGTTAATCACCCGGGGCAGGTACAATAGGCCAATCAGTGGACACAACTGGACTCCTCCCCCCACTATGCGAATTACTCGTACTTACTTACTTACTTACTTACATATTTACTCATGGAGCTGAGCCCTTCTGGAGGAGCCGCCAATTCTGCAGCTACTCAAGAATTTCCCAGCGTTTTATGGAACCCGAAGGCTTATTGCCGTGTTCACAAACACCCTCCACTGGTTCCTCTCCCGAGCCAGATCAATCCAATAATACCATCCCATCATATCTCTCCAAGATCCATTTTAATATTGTCCACCCGCCTAAACCTTAGTCTTCCCTGTGATATCTTTCCTTCTGGCTTTCCCACCAATATCCTATACGCATTCCTCGTCTCCCCCATTCGTGCTACATGCCCTGTCCACCTCATCTTCCATGATTATATTATTCTAATTATACTTGGAGAAGAGTACAAGTTATGAAGCTCCTCATTATGCAGTTTTCTCCAACCTCCTCTCACTTCATCTCTCTTCGGTCCAAATATTCTCCTCAACACCCTCGGTCTGTGTTCCTCCCTTAATGTCAGAGACCAAGTTGCAAGCTCATACGAAACCACAAGCAAAATTATAGTTTCGTATATTCAAATTTTTATGTTTTTGGACAGCAGACGAGAAGGCAAAAGATTCTGGACTGAATGGTAGCAAGCATTACCCGAATTCAGTCTCCTGAATCAGGTTTCGATCTGTTATCGTTGTTCCCAAATATCTGAATTGTGCCACATTTTCAAAACATCTGTTTCCTATCTTTATGTCATGATTTTGCCCTGCATTTTGGTGACGAGACAGTAACATATACTTAGTTTTCTCAGTGTTCACTTCTAGACCAACCTCTTTACTTGCGTCAATTAAAGTTTGTATGTTTTTCTTTATGGTATCTACATTATCACCCAGTAGATTCACATCATCGGCATAGGCAAACAGCTGATGTGTCCCGTTTAATTTCAGTCTCATCTGCTTTCCCTGAACCTTCCTAATTGCGTATTCTAAAGCAAAGTTGAAAAGGAGTGGCGATAAAGCATCTCCTTGTTTTAGACCATTCTGGATAGGAAATTTACGAGACAAATGTTTATCTACACGGACATTACTATACGTTTCGTTTAAACACATTTTAGTCAACCTAACTAGTTTCATGGGTATCCCAAACTCTGTCAGAATATTGTACAAAACTTCCCTCCTAACTGAATCATAGGCTTTCTTGAAGTCTATGAATAGCCGATGTACTGTCTCTTCATACTCCCATTTTTCTCCAATATCTGACGAATGCAAAAGTTAATGCTAGGCTGGTGACCCCTCTTAAAGTCATTTATTCCTCCATACCTGTCTCTAATGTTCTTGTTCTTACTGTTCATTGCAAAGTCATCAGTTTTGTCTTTCTGGTATTCCCTCTTTTGTTCCTGAAATGCCTGCTAGTTTCATGTCTTATATTGTTCAGATTATCCCCATTAACTCGCTTGGATCCTGTAACCGTTGCAGTTTGCCCTGCTTTCTTTGATCTAATAATTTTAAGCAATCTTCATCGAACCATGGCTTATGCTTCTTCGATTCATAATAACCTACTATCTCTTTGGCAAACATTTTTATATTCTCTCTAATATTTTCCCAAGTTTTCCAAGGCTGCGAACCTATTTGGGATTTGAACACGATACTGGTCTTTACCGTCTACCTCATTTAATTTCTTGAGATTGAACCTCTCCGTATGAACTCAGTGTGTTGTTTGTTTGCTCACTGCCAGTCTTTCCCTAAGCTTTGCCACCACCAGGTAGTGGTCAGTATCACAATCTGCTGCCCTGAATGATCGGATAAGTATACTTGAGTGCCGTCTCGTATCTATCAAAATATGGTCTATTTGATTGTGTATCTTCCCATCAGGAAATGTCCAAGTAAATTTATGGATGTTACGATGTGGGAACATTGTACTTTTGAAAGTAAGATTTTTTTATGTGGCAAAGTTTATTACTCTAACTCCATTATCATTGTTAATTTCATGCCCACTCTCATTCCCAATCGTTGGTTTGGAAATGTATTCCCTCCCTACTTTGTCATTGAAATCTTCAAACAAAATATGCGAATTAAAAAAAAACTATCCGCGGTATAGCTCAGCACATTAGCAAGCTAAAACGCTTTGTTTCAAATTATTTATCAACAGAACTCACAGTAGAAGA